TCCTGTTTGCGGAACGCGTCGTCATAACAGGGGAATTCTAATCCAGTCTTAAAACAGCTTCACACCGGACATCCTGGCTTTAGCATAATGAAGGCTTTGACGTGAAGTTACGTTTATTAGCCGTTCATGGATTCACAAAGTGAAGATTTAACCCGCTCGTGTTCCAAATCATCGTTGGCAGCGAAATCCGGAAAGTGTAAAGTGTTTTCCTGGCCATCGCCCACAAAACCATAGTCAGGAGTGCACCTTGATTTTGCAGGATAAATTAAGAGACAAAATTTCTTACATGCCGTTGATGCCTACAGTAAGTGGCCTGAAATCTTACAAATGTCGAACACCACTTCATCAGCCGATATAGTCGCCCACAGAGAAGTTTTCAGCTGCTTTGGATCCCCGGAGACAGTTGTGCCTGACAATGGCCCTCAGTTCACCTCCGCGCAATTCGCCGATTTTTGTGCGATGTACGGAATGGAACATCTCCGTTCGCCTCCCTATTATCCCCAGTCAAATGGACAGGCAGAGAGATTCGTCGACAAATTCAAGAGAGTTCTGCTTAAAACAGAGGGATGGACCGATTCATGAGATTCTGCAGACCTTTGTATTGATGTACAGGATCACACCCAATCTACAGGCACCGGAGGGAAAATCTCCGGCCGAATGGCTTCCGCTGAGAAAGCAACGAACAACTTTTGACCTCATAAGACCGCAGAAGAATCACAGCGCGGCGAGAAACGAGAAAATGGAACGCCAATGCAATCGGAGGTACCAAGCAATAGCGAGGGGTTTAGATGTTGGACAGAAGGTTCTGGCAAAAAACTATCGGAGGGGAAATATTGCATGGACACGTAGCCTGATTACAAAAAAGTACAGTCATGTCTACTACGAGGTAACAGTGGGCAAAGAAAGGTGGGTCTGCCACATCAACCAGCTCAGGAGATGTGTTTCGCCAAATACAACTGAAGATGTCTGGACGACTCCTATGGAAATACTCTTGGATGAATTCAATTTATCGAAGACTGATGTAATTCCTCAAAAAGAATATACTACACCCTGTGTTACCTCTGAATGTCGGCTCAGAAGATGGACAGACCGATGCAGAGTCCCCATCACACCGTTTCAAGGCAATCCCAGACTGAAATCGTACACCAGTAGACTTCAAACGGGGAGGTGTTAGGATGGGCACCTCCTAACGAATCGACCGGTGGCGCACGTTTACAAGGACCAACGGATTCTGCCAAGGTTTCGTCAAACAGTCTCGGTTAGCAATGAAAAGAATGTTCCTTGAGATTCGGATACTATTATTCGCAAGTAAAGAAGGAAAATTAAAGTGTATTCAAGAAAGCGGCCCAACAGGTATAAATGTAACCTGCATGCTCCACGCTTTGCCTTGTCGTTCGGAGAAAACACGGTATAAAGGTCCGCCATTGTTGTTTTTGTTAGTCAAGCCGGGGCCGGGGTCGAACAGTCAATCGGAGTGAAGCGATGGTCTTAACACTAACCGTCCATGCCTCATCCTGCATCATCTGAGTAGGAAGAGGAACGGAAGCAGAGGGCCAACTGAAATGACCTTGAAACTGCTCCACCCACTGAGCAATACGGCGTCCCCCATTGTGAATCATAGTTTTCTGCGACCATTGGTGTGAATCAGCTGGAAGAGCTTGCGATGAGTGTCTACTGCTCCTGTTTCCTCCTTTCTTGAGCCACACTAGTCCACCGGCCTTCCCTGTCAGCGCGCAGGCCCCGCTTTAGTTCGCGCCTAATAGACCGTCTGGTCACATGGTGTTCAGAGCCAGCATGGTTTTCTTCTGTATTCAAACAGGTTCACCGACCTCTCGGATATCCAGTGACTGATGCGGTGACGACTGACAGGATTAAAAGCAGAGGATCCCGCATCGTGCATAGTGGCCGAGATTCTATTACACTGAAACTCAGTGTTATCAAGGCGAGAGCGAAATTTCGCTACTCAGGGAATTCTGTTAAGCTTATCCGATGAGGACTGAGATAACTTCTCAGTTACAAATCGAGGGAGACGTTTGTTAAGTCTCGTGGTAAAGTGCATGGAAAAACTGACAGCGTGCCAAGGCATGGTCACAGTCGCTGCAGATACTCCAGAAAGAGCGGCAATTCAGAATGGAACCACGCCGCCTGTGAGCTATTTGGGTCCAATCGATGGCAAGCTACAGGAAAATGCCGTGGCATTTTGACGCGCACTGTCTAAAAGCGGTGCTACTAAGAAACAGCCGATACTCCGCGTACAGTGGCAATAGACGCTCCCCGTTGTCCGTCGGTTCGGAATTAAGCCCATACTTACTGACTAGCTTAGATTCTAATGAGCCCAGACGGCCTACATGCGGTCATATCTCCTTCAGCAAAAGTATCTGAACCGGTAACACTGGGAAGCGGCATGTTCAGTCGTGGTCGAATGTGTACTTAAAAGCAGAACTGCAGTCGGTGGAGCATACACAGAAACCACAAACAAATAGCGTATTGCACTACTTTGGGAATCAATTGTAATCGAGATACTAAGACGGGCTGTGCACAAACGCCTGTTCACCGGGATCCAATCAACTAACGATGGCTCAGCCTTGGAGCTGAGAATGATGCCTACCCCACTTTGACCAGTGGTTGCCGCATCAGCGTCTCCGGATGCGTGCAACCAATAGCAAGAAGACAAACCGGGTGCAGCCAATTCAGTAACACCGCAAGAGTCGTTGATCTTAAGTTCGGACACGCAACAGACATCAATACCCAGTGTGTCCAGCGTGCATACAAATGAAGCCTGCAGACCTATTTGTCTTAGAGTGCGAAGGTTGAACGCCGCCAGGGAAACGGGACAGTAAGGCCTTACGAGAGACTGTTGACGATAGGCGTCCCTGTGGGTGGGCGGAAGGTAGCTGCAAATGGTTCGAATTCAGTGACATTGCAGTTGCTGTAAATTAATCTGTGAATAATAGAAGGAAAATTAGTAATGGGAGATGAGTAAGAGAGAGGTGGAAAAGAGAGGAGGCGACAGCAGTAGCATGTTTTCGCTTATCCGCCCTGTTGTATGCAGCAGATAAGACTACCCTTGATAAGCTGTGTGACGGCTGATGCAGAATGTGGTTGGAGTTTGAGGAGATAGTCATGGTTGTACGTAAGCTGAGATCAATGCCAGGACACCCAGATCCAGACGAAAGAACGATTCAGATCCTCGACCAAAACCTTTGGCTCAGAAATCTGTCTGCAAGGTAGCGGATGTGGCAACCATACAGTGTTACAGAAATGGACGCCATACCATTTCCAACCTTCAAGCCGGAGACTGAGTTTACCTGACTTCTAAGCGGTGGCCAACTTTTCAGGAACAACTCTCAAGTGGTCCACTCAGTATTTCTCCTTGGGTCGAGAAGGTACGCAAACCTCCGCAACACGTTAAGATCCAGTATCGTTGCAACGGATCAGGTGGACCGCTTTACTGTAGCGGTTGAGTTTAAACAGCCGATAGCGATTGATCAGAGACGTCAAAGGCATCATGGTAAGGTCAAAGAAATGGTGGAACCATGCGCGAGGAGTTTGTTGAAGTGTGAAAAGTAAGAAAGCTGAATACAGCTTGCATGTGACGAGAGGTACCAGTCATCACGCGTGTGTAAAAGTTTATGGACAGGTGCAGTATCAGTAGGTTGTCCAGCTCCGAAAACTGAATCAGAACTCATCGACTTGGCAAGCAGCAGTGACAGCCGCTGTAAGAGGATGCCACCGACGGATTGATCCGGGGTTTGCCAGCAAAATCCTGAGGTTACTCAGAGGAAGAACATGGGAAAGTCAGCAGAAGCAAACGAAACAGTTCCCAGAAGGATATCCGTTGAAAATAACATGTCAGCTGTACACCGTAACGGCGCCTCGCTGCCGTGCGGCCACTACCAGTCTCACGCGGGCTGGATATAACGCGAGCACACCCACTCCTATGTCGATTCGAACCCGCGCTGCAAGATTACGAGACGCGATGGTTACCTCTAGGCTACGGGCTCACAATTCTGTAGAGGAGAGCTAGAGACACATCGCTTACGAGCACAACATCAGACCGATAACAACTATTAGGAAGCTGACTATCGCGTTTTGGGACACCCGCTGTGTGTGTTGGATTGCGAAACGCTAGCACAATCATGGCTATGATTGACTTCGAAGTTAGCTTGTGCCATTCCGATCGCTGGGACAGTATCCGATGTGGAAGGTTTCGGTATTGCTCTTTCCCATCCCTACACTCCACGACGCGTGCCTGTGGTAAGCCAATATACAGGGCGGATACCCCAAAACCCGGTAATCAATTGCCAACCGTTGTGGCAAGCTCTGCTCGCGGAGCTCACAGTCTTAATAGTTATGGCGATAGCTGTCAACCATTATGGGCCGAGTCCCAAGCTCAACTCAGGCAATCTCTACCTGATGAGTCCATACAAGGACGAAACGTGTCGTGGAGAATGGAGATGGGAGAGAACAACACCGAAGCCCTCCACTAGGTAGCAGCATCGTCCTACTGGAGTTAATGAAATAATGCGCATTCGATCGACTATGTGCAAATGAAGGAATTACAGAAAGAGTTCTGTCAAATACACTCAAATGTTGACTATGATTATTGGCCTGAGGTAATCAACATAAAACTTCAGTGAAAGCGAAAATCTCTGATAAGTGTTACTTGACGTGGTGTCAAACAAACACCCGAATTAATGTTGGTTTCTAGTGGTTAGTAAACAGTTATGGATAAATAAATAATAAGAATGTACCAGCTGTACGCCGCAACGGCGTTTCGATGCCGTGCCTGGACTGAGTATATCGCGACGACGCCTGCCTCTACGCGGAGTCGAACCGGTGACCTTATGATTGCAAGGCAGGCGTGTAGACCACTCGGCCATCGGCCCACACTCATGGATGAGCAGCAAAGGAGACAGAAAGCAGAAAAAAAGATGGTACTTAAGGTGAACATTATAGTCTAAATCAGACGAAAGAGGATAATTCCAACTCTCAAAGTCCGTGTATTTATGCAGCAAGTCATTGCAAAGTATGTACAGAAGCACCCTGAAGTCAAAGAGTTGAAGAGGACTGAGAGATAGGTGGTTGAAGGCTGAAAGAGGTAAGGCAGATTGTTATGGAATCGGGAGAATGGGAGCATGGCACAGAGTACATTATGTCACAGTATGACGATCCAAATTTGCATACACTCGGCGCAACTTCTCGCGACGTTTGCCGTGGCAGTGGTGCGACGGTTCGGCCGAATCGAAGGGATCGAGTCGTTTCGACTGACTGACAATTCGCCACGGTTTCTTTGTGCCTGCGAGTGAGGGACAAGTGGCAAGTTCTACACCAGACAACAGAGTAGATCCTCCAACAGAGGAATCCACTGTGGTCCAAGACGAGGTGGATAACGCATCATCGCCATCGGCCGCGCCAACGTCCGGAGCAGACGTGTCACTGGAGGGGCGAACGGGTAATACCTTGCGTGTTCGAAAGTGCGATTTCGGTGCAGCTTGCTGTAAGAAAAGAGAAACACGGGTGAGTTTTTAGCAGCTTCGTTTTCATTACGTAACGACCGGATACAGAATACAATGCAGTCTTAAGATTAGGTCACATTTCTAATGATCTCGAAGGGCGTTCGAACTGTGCAACTCGCTAGACACATGTCAGTGCCCGTACAGTGGCTGCAGAGTGAGCACCTCGATTCAAACTACCACAAAGTCATAGGTAAAGTTGCTCAACGTAATTGTCATCAATATAGAGAACTCTCAAACTACAACTTCACGGTAGCCGGCATACAGTGGAGAGTAACGATTGACTCCTGTTGTTGATGATGGGGATGATAAATCAAACTATCCACCTAAGTTAGCTTGCTCAACAGGCTAAACCTAAATGCTTCCAGTCTGCTGGCCTGTGGAGGAGAAAAATGGTGAACAACACTTCAGTAAAGTCTTCTACATTCCGATTATGTTACAACTCAAGACATAGAGATGTGGACGTTTGAGAGGCTCTACTTTCTGCACTCCCTCCAAAGGCCGGGATGCACCAGAGATGAGTATGGAGCAAACGATTTAAAAAACCTCAGTAAGGGATGAATTCAACTCAATTCAACTAGCTGCTTAGGAGACAAATGAGGAACTATGACTAATTCAGTTGAAGTAGCCGTGTTTCCAGAAAAATGAGAAAAAACAAAAATAGGGGAGAATAGTGATAAACAAAAAGCCGATAGAGAAAAGGCAGGCATCAGCAGTACTCCGGTACACAGTACCGACGCTTCGCTGCCGTGCAACACCCCCCTCCCTCAGTTGCATGGGGGCTAAGGGTACGGCTAGGATGGCTCGATCCCTATGCAGACTCGAACCCGCGCCGTCAGATTACAAGACAAGCCCGTTACCTTTAGGTTACCGGCCGGAAGCGATGTTTCAGAAGGCAACAGATAGAGGTAAGGAAACGAACGCAGATGCGCACTGACTGAGTGCATGTGCGCCAAGTTATGTAAAATAGCCAACTACCATCGTCGTGAATCTCGATGCCCACAAGCTGGAAAACGTTTATCAAGGTAACTTCTTAATACCCTTTAGTCATGTCATAGATCGGTCATCTCAGTTGTACACAGTGGTGAGAGAGGAACGTTGCTACAGAGAGACAGTGGTAGTACTCTCTCAAGTTTTACACCACATGGTGACTACACAAGAGTAGCAGCACAGCGGAACGTCAGGAGGCTGCATTAATTCTTCACTGCCGCGTACTCACAAACACCAGACGGTAATAATGTAACAAAAGGGGCCACAGAGAGAACCAAAGTACCGAGAGTAAACATTCAGGGTTTGTATGCTTATACTATGCCAGCAGCGCAAGGTAAGGAGTGACTACAGTGTAAGATTAAGTGGACACGGGACAAATAAAGCATATGATCTGCATATACTCAAGTTCAACTTACCTACGGATAACTACTGGTGTTTTGTTATCATGCAAATGTTAGCAGCTATGCCGATCGAGATACTATAGGGAAGGCCTCCTGTTCTAACACGAATTTTTGCTAGCTCAACAGATTAACGTCAATTAAGACAGACGCTTACTGTAGAAAAACACTAATATGACGACGATTTGGGAAGATTTCGAAAGTGATTTGCAACGTTCCAGTGGATGGAGTGTTAGAGCAGGAGGGGCCATATCGCATGCAAGAGCTGCGGACTTGAAGTCGAGAGATTGTACACTAAATGCCTGAACCAGTAAACCACAGAAGCAACAATAAATGCACGATTGGTGCATGTTACGAGGTTAGATACATGATGGATCGCGTGAATTTGAGCCTAAAAGGCCCGACAGTCCCCGTTGTCAGTGACTGTCGTTCTCGAGCCTGAGAACATCCTAGATGGAGTAAGCAAAACGATGTCCACTTTGGAAGAACATACGCAGCATGTGTGCTATCTTGGCTGAAACTGGTTAAAAATTACATGCGCATATCATCGGTGCAGATATGCTAGTGTCCCGCAACGCCGCGGTTCTACTCAAGCAACGATAGTCAGAGACTTGAAGATGCATCGGATGATACTGAGAGATCCACGTTACACTGCGGCTCTCTGTATAGACAACTATGAGCAGCAAGGGAAAACCATTACGCGGCTACAGACAAGTGATTTAGTCACCGCAGTTACAAACTTGTCAATGCGAATGAGGCTGACAAAGTAATTGGATTGATCAGACATCTGCAGTATCGTTGCCTAGAAGTGAAGGAATAACGGATGATTTTTTGGGCTCCAGCGTGGTAATGATCACAATGCGCAGTGATGGTATCTCTAAGCTGTGCTGATAACACGGGAATGTAGCAGTCTCATCGTAAATTTGATCTACTACTGTCCCAATAGCTAGCTGGGACTTTGAAAAATCACACAAACCTAAGTGAGTGGCAAAGTATTCTCTTCGGTAATTTTAACAACTGATGAGATCCACTCATCTAATAAGTGAACTGATCAAGAACTCTCAGCGTCTGATCGGCAATAATGAGAACCGACTCCAGCTGAATGCAGTCTTTTTTGAAACACATGTCAGAGTAGAAGCCCAGTTAGCAGCGCCGGCATAGCCACTCGGTTCGACCTATGCGAGCAGTCGTACACCGACTGTAGCTGACTGCTCAGCCAATGAGTAAGCTAATGGCATCGTTTTACCTTGAAGTGGACCAATGAGAAGGACCTGCCTTGAAGCCCTCCAGTAAGCGCACTACTTGAACAGCCAACAAGCGAGTTTTTGCGCATCTAGTAGTTGCTATAGTCAGGAACTTTCAATTAGGTCATTCTCTCATGAACTATTTATTTTGACCCCATAATTTGGCTGTACATACTGTCTTCTGGGCGTTCCATGCAAGTTCCACCAGGAGCCTTTGTGTTTTGATTTGGGAAGTGGCTGTATCGCGATCCGAGTGGTTGTGTTGGTTATGCGTACTGTCAGCGGAAACACAACAGTTAGGGACATGCGTGTGGCCAGACACACATTTCCATGTGTTGCGCAAAAACCCAAGTGGCAGGTGGTCATGTTCTCTGCCACAGAAGAATGCCCCGATATGGCGAGCAGTTCATGCCCCAACCCGGGCAGCAAAATCATAGAGAAAGATACTTCGCATGTCATTGAAGCCCCAATCCTCAATGAGGACAATATGATAGCTGTGAATCAGTCAGGAGGGGAAATAAACAACTATGATGTAATGTAACGCATGTAATATAATTGTATGAACTAAGGACATAGTAATTAAGTAGTGATTGATTGATTTTCCTTACCCACATATGCCAGTGAATAATCGTGGGAGCACTAAATTGTTGGTACTGACAGCTTTGGTTCAGTAAGATACTCAAGTGGGTTACCAGGGTGCAAAGTGAATCGATGCTGCTGGTATGACAGCGTACCTCCCATATCTACCAGCCGTCTAGCTCGCTGTAGGCTGTTTAATGGCACTGAAGATAATAAGGCAGCTGGTCGACGACAATACAGGAAAGACTGAAGGAAAGGTGGACAAAAAGAATGGCAGACGTCTACAAGTATAAAACCATACGTATGAAAACTACGGGAGGTTGAAACCTAATCCGACAAAGCGCGATCAAGTGGAAAGTATCCAGGGACTGGATTTAATGGTCCAGTCTGTTAGTTCTCCCACTCATCCTCATTCGCCTTATGATCATCATCGTCATCATCATCATCAATACACGTTAGCCGAGGAACAAATCTTAGCTAATGTGCCGCAATACAAAAATGTAAGACATTAAGCAAGGTAGACTTAAAATCTACGAAAAAGTAACATATTGATAATATCACGTTTTGATGGTTGTTGGTGGGGGGAGGACAAAGAAACTCACAACACAAACACTACTGAGGTCGACTTTTCGTGATGCCAGCTAGCGTATCCAACCATACGTGTTCACCATCCTTCGGTCCCCAGCCACGCAGTCGGGAAACATCAACCGACGCGAAATTCGAAAGTGAGATATTCATTCCTCTAGAGCAAGTCATCACTTGGCCTCCTCTCATCTTCGTCTATTCACATCCCCGGCGCGCATACAATGTACGTCGCGGGAGTCGATGGGCTGGCATTCACAACATGTGGCTCAGCCACCGGAGCCTGGTACGTGATATAATGGTGCTGAGCGGTTTACACGCTCTTCCTGCACCAAATACGCGAAAGTAATAACTAATGTCAACAACCATTACGCAGGTGAATTGTTTTCGTCCGGTTGTTCTCACTTTTGTTGTCGAAAACACACCAGCAGTACGCCCAGCGGACGCTGCGCTGCTACGCAACTACCAACATTAGTGCGCGCGTTAAATATATGCGAGGATCGCCCGGCACTCTACACAGGCTGGAACCTATGAACCCACCGTGATCTTTCGGCCACTGGCCGGCAAGTTTCTGTTCTTACGACAACAGGTGGTAAAACAATGGAATTTACTATGCTCAGTAAACCGGACAACATTAGGCAAGTGAACCGAAGTGAGAACATCGGAGTGGAGAAAGTGTTGGATGTAGTGCACATGCGCCTCATCGGGTGCAACGTATGGGTAACTTCCGGAGCAGACATCATTTTAGTGAAACAAATTGAAGAGTTTACAAGGAATGCCGGTTATACAACGGATCAATTTGACCAACAAACGGATAAATTCGCCGATAGCTAACCTTGCTGAAAATCATCTTGTCAAAATCCGTGATCAACGAAGAAGGAGCGTCAGATTGTGATTTCCGCCTGGACCCCCGCTGGGCCACGGTTTTCTCGTTCATGTTTGCGTGAGCTAAACTAGGGGGTAAGCTGTCGGGATTCCTCCCGAGAAGCTGAAAAGCCTGTGGGTCCGTGCCGGGTGGTGGATGACAATACAACAGGCGACCCTGAAAAGAAAACAAAGTGGCAGAGAACGTGCGAATGTCTTGACGATTAAGTTGATGTGCAGAGAGGATGTGAAACCTAGACGTTGGGAAGCAAGGAAACAAGTTGCTAAAGAGCAACGGAAGAAAAAATACTAAAAGAGACTACCTCTCTAAGAAAACACGAACTCGTACGATTCGAGTGCCAAAGTTTGTCAGTCAGGATGGGAGTTTATGAAATATTCGCCAGCAAGTGCTCAAGTGGCAGCAACCATTTTGCGTGAGCAAATGAAAATAATGGAGACCAGCCAACATTCAAGAAAACAGCTCACGAAGGGGAGGTAAAATATGCTACACGTACGACATGTATCTCTCCAATATATACCGATACTGTGGCGCGTGAACGGATCAAGGAAAATTAGATCCAAGAAGGATGCCGTTTTGGAAGGTTTGATATAGTGGTCTAAGTACAGGAAAGAATGCAGTCACTGTGCACATGCGATATGACAATCATAGAAAGGGTGCCCAAGACCACACAATATTAGATATTCAAAGTGACTGCTCATGAACCAGAACCAAGACAAATTTCAGACCATCTAAGGGCTGGAGTGGATGTGTTCAACTCACTTGGACGTAATCTTTGAGGATGATTCGAGCGGACCTGTCATAATGAGGATTGCCCTTGGCTGTCATGAAGCTGTGGGAGACTGGTGGAGAAGAGGGAAGAGAAAAAAAAGCGCAGAGCTAAGATGTGGTGCAGCGCATTGATGGGAGCAAACACCCCCGATGGAAAAAAGTCGTGTGAGCTCACAGTTCCCAAGTTGAGAGTGGGCATCGCTAAAGACTGATCAATAACTAATGGAATAGTCCCATCACTAAGTGTCGTTAGTATGCGTGAACGCAATATTAAGCTGTTAGAACAACAGCAGAAGTGTTATGCCATGTTGGAAAAAAGGCAGTACCATAGAAACCAAAGACACAGATGTAACGAGTACTGATCACTGTCCGACGGAGCATTATTGGGGATGTGCGCGGGGTACGCGACAGCACCGTCGATGATGCGGACGATGTGAGGTGAATACGGAGAGCAAAACTGTCAGACATCTCCGTTTAAAAGTGCTTCAACGTACCATTACAGTGAACGCTGAATACTGAAATTAGAGAACGAGAAAGTATAAATGTGTTGTTCCGTCGTAATTAGATCGGGCATTTGCACGGAATCATGTCGCTGATCCTGCGCAGTGGCAGCATGATACAGCTGCACTAAATCGTATCCGGGTGCGATACGCTCCGTTTGCCTGTAATCCGCAAAGTGGACATCGAGGAAGCTCTTAAATTCCGACACCGATTTCGCTTCGGTTATTGTCTCCGGCAAGGTGTTCCAATAGTTCACCACTCGACGCTCGAAGCATAGAGGGTGAACGATAAGCTTCAAATCCGATACCACCAGTTTGCGCCGGTGTCCACACGTGCTGCTTGGTGCGCGAAGGTTCAGTAGTAGATCAAGCACGGGGAAGTGGCCCAAGTGCAATATCCGGTGCGTTATTATGAGATCAACTCGAAGCCGACGACATGACAGGGTATACAGTCCTAGTCTCCTACATCGGTCATCGTACGAGATACCCCGTAAACTGGGGATGAGTCAGGTAGCTACGTGCTGAACCCGTTCCAGTCTCTGCATCTCAACTATTGTGATCGGACAATAGACGGGTGAGCTGCATTGAAGCATCGGTCTTAATATGGAAGAGAATAGGCGAGTGGCAACCCCTTCAGACCAGGTGCAGAAGCTGCGTGTAAGTGCCCAAAGCAGGCGTAGTCCTTTTCCTCACAGTCTGTTCGTGTTGTCGACGGACACCGAGATCCTTTACGGAGCTTGTGGGATGAAGTGGTTGGCCGCATGCACTAATGAGGACAACTGACCTGGATGGTATGTGCGGTCAACACAGACAGCGAGCTAGAGTTCGACCACACGAAACAGAGGATACCTAATCCGATGTGGTCTAACTGCAAAGTCAACAATGCTAATGTAGTTTGTCTACTTTCTCATACTGGTAACACCAGTTACCGACGATGACATAGTTTTCCTCATTTCTGGCTGATTTTATGTCAGAAAATTTATTTGTTTCTTCATTTCTTTTCATTGCTACCGCCTGTGTATGCTTGTGATGAAACGGGTTATAGCAACTGGGCACAACGTGCTTCGACAAATGAACCATCTGGTGTGAAATATTCACTGATTGGAACCCGCATACCATGTAACTACGAGCCACAGCGGTGCCCAAAAGAGAAGACTGAACTAGCAGTGAAGTAGTGGACACCACCCGTGTGGCCTCATTGGGAACAATGGAGACGCGTCAAGCAGCGGAAGCAACAACGTATACAGCAAAGCGTAACACGCACAGGCTGGAAGACTCCATGTGCAGTTTTTGTTTGGAAAGTAAACATCATTTCGTCGTCACCGCTAGTGATGTTATTCGTCATTGTGTATGGTCGGAAAGAATAGATACGCGTTGATACAATACACGTGCGGACATATTCTGCAATGTAGCACTGAGATATTTCAATGGGAGAGACGCTGATAAGGAAAATGTAAGCGGAATCGAGAGAGCATGGTAGTTCACATACTTCGGTGATTAAATCATGACGAACTGGTCACAGTTGCGGAAAAAAACTAGTAGTATGTATTCATGGTAGGAAAATCGCGTTGAAGTAAAAAGCCTTCAAGTGAATGACATCTGCGACACGAAGGGTCAGCAGCTGTGCGATTGTTTCAGTCCCCGAATAGCGTCTGCGTGATTCCATATGTGAATCGAGCTACTATCGGAATAGACATCAAAGTGACATTTAAACAATGGCGCCCATTGAAAACAGGCACTTTTGGTTTCGGTGTCGCAATGATGGATGAGAAGCGATGCAACGGGAGCTGACAGGAAGCTAACATCTGGCTACCGTTTTAAGTTGATCAAAAGATGAGGAAGTTGCGATCGAAGGCTGCTGTTGAACTATCGTCCATTGTGACATAGATAGCACATGTTTCTCTCTATCATTCCTTTACTCATGAGAATGGACAGTGTGAGGTAAAACGAACCACCAGGTGAAGGAACCAGTGCTCTCCCTCTCCTGGGAGCGAGGATCAGTTCAATTTATTTGAACAACTACAATCCGGGCGCCAAAGTGAATTTGCAATGAAACATGTCGTCAGAATGTCAATAAATAACAACGGTAAAAAAGTGAAGTTGTACGCACGAAGAATACAAGGAAAACTGAATCAAGACAGAAGTGCTTTAAACTAGTCGGGATGGAATAAATTTAACAGCAAAATGCAAGAAACCGAATGTAGGAAAGGCTCTGGCTGCGCCAATTTCGAAAGAATCTCTAATGACGGGTGTGGAACATCCCGAGGTCCCCATCCACGAAGATTGAAAGCAACAGCTTGACCAAATCTCGAAGTCAATTTTTTCATCCTCTTATGCCACATCATGGACTGGTCACCTCGCGCTTTCGACCAACTTCGACGTATAATGCACGCGCGTATACGAAGGAGGACATGATCTACCCAACATAGGCGAGTAAGATTCAGATAACACGCGAATCAGGCCGTAACCGAACTTTTCTTGTTACCTGACGGCGCGGGTTCGAGCCTGCGTAGACGCACGATGATCCTCGCAGTATCCTTAGCCCACGTGCGACCGGTGGTGGTTGCACGGCAGTGAAGAGTCGGCACTGCGTATCGGCGCACTGTTGATGCATTTCTTTTCTTTCGAGTAAGGAACCAAAAGGCTTTTTGCCAAAAACCAACTAGCGAACCTCAGCAATGCTCGCTCAGTGTTCTCACCAGATTTGCGCAAGTACCGATAATCAAACACGGTCAACAGTTTAATATCTTTACTGTGGTCAGGTCTCTCATCCACATACAGCAACACCGATTGTGAAGATAATGCAAAGTTTACATGACAAAGAGAGAGAAACTCACTAGCATGTGCAGCGAGTAGTTCATGTGGCGTTGGTGGGCTGTCCTCCGCACTTCCCTGTGGTCGAGTATCCAATATGGGTTTGGAGAGCTTGATACCGTACTTAAGCTCCAGCACGGATTGAGGAATGCGTTCACAAACCTATGAGTAAGGAAAAGGTACATTAACTCAGGCACCATACCAAAAAATGTCAACGAGAACTGAGATTTGATTGAGTCATGTAGTTTGACACGTAAGAGAGCAGAGTACGGTGGCGAGGCCGCGCAGATTGGAAAAATAATACGCTGTCCCTGTGACGCAGCCAGCTGCGCGACGTACAATAGGGTCCCCGATGGGCCGATATGGTTTGCTCTCTGAAAGAATAGTAGTCACACGTTTCGGTCGGTAGTTGTTGCATATGGAAAGCGTACTGGTGCAAGAATGCCGGATGTTGAGGAATAGTCCGCAGGAACAGTGCATAAACCTGGATCGGATAAACCAGTTAATGGGCCAAGCGGCAGTCATTCTAAGTGCATACAATTGCCGCTAACCTCAGACAGAGTAAACCAAGATGTCGAAAAACGACCCCGCAGTAAAAAAGCTATACCGATCACCGACACCTGGGGCACACGTGAATGAAGCAGCAACAGATCAGAAGTGTGGGAGTGGAAAACCGAGAGTTGCCTGTCTACGCTGATACGTATGGTTGCCGGCATCCGGTATCGGATTTGCCTGTCACTGTGACCAGCCACAGGACACCTGCGCCTACAGAGGGACCATGGATGGCTTGCGCTGCACCACCCATAGATCCATCCACACACCCCATATCCAGTGTAAACCCGAAGGAATAAGACCGGGAGGCATGTGGATGGGAGCCACGTTCCATCAACGGAGCCGGCCCACACTCCTTCACAGTCAAACACAAGCACGCTGTAGTTGGGAATCAAGTGCACACAAGGCGGTGGCTGGACTGTAGTCCACTCCACACTGAGCGCATGGAACCATTGTTTGATCTTAGCACGGCCTCAAGGACCGTGCACCCCGTCCCCTCCAGCAACGACCAACTGTCTCCTGGAGCCAGTATGGACGAGGTAGTGGGTAATAGACAGGTAGGCACCTCGTCAACATGCACATCAAGCGCAGCCACACCGGGGATATCAAGCAACAGCCAATCACTTGTGTGAAAGATAACAAAGAAAATAAATCGAGTAATGCATAAGGAAACGGTGACATAACTCTTAAATCAATGAGCATATTAAATAAGTTGTCTACAAACGAATCCGAGATCAGTTCACGATGTCGGAAAGTATATTTTACGGAAATGCTACAAAGACGAAAATGTTATCGAAATTAACTGCAATTGGCTTAAGGGACGTGTGCAGGTTTATAGAAAAAAGCACTGGTAAACATTTATGTAAGAAAGAAAAGCATTAGGACAAAATTGCAAACCCATCACCTGAAATAAAGAGACTTAGCATGCAAGCACGGGGTTAGTAAATCGAATGCAGCGTACCTACAATCGGTGCGCCGGTTCTGCCTACGTTCTCTGCAGGACCCGTCGTCGCTTCGGTAGTGGTCCCGAGTGGCCTCGCTCATGGCTCACTAGGCCTGCCTGACTCAGGCACTCGCGACCGCATGTGCTACAGCATCATGCGTTCGATGTCGATGGAGTACAACTCATCGGTGCTTGCCGCTTCCGCACTTGCCGTTTCTTCTCTGCATGTTTGAGGTCTTTCTCCTGCACTTCGGCAACTGTCTTCGTGATCAGATCGCGCTATGCACGCTGGTCAGCCGCCTTCGATTTCCATGACCTGCAATCAAGGTTAGAACGTGAGATCATGTCCTGGAAACGTAACTTTGGTTTTTCCACATGCCGCTTCCCAATACTCAGCTGAGGATATAAGAGTTGTGTCGGTATCCGCGTCGAATCTATACAGTTCACATGACCAAGCCACCTCAGGTGTCTCAGAAAAGCTATGCAGTCCACTGCATACATCCCACTTTGTCGCAACACTTCCGTGTCAGCAACTCTGTCGCCCTAACCGATGCGCAAAATCCGTCGCAAACACTGCTGATGAAACCGCTCGAGATATCGCACATCCCGCCGGTACATCGTCCACGTTTCACTGCCGTATAGAAGAACGGACAGCACCATAGATTTGTACACCATCAGCTGCGTGCCAATGGTAAGCTGATGGTTGTTCCACACTCGGTACTCTAGCTTCCCGAATGCCGCCGCTGCCTTCGACACGCGAATACGCAGCTCACTGTGTAGCTGCTGATCAGTCGACATCACACTCCCAAGGTAGCAGAAGCAGGATGTGGTTTCCAATACTTCAGCACCAATGCTGATTCGCGGCAATATTGAAGATTGCACCACCGGTGAAGGCTGAAAGATATATATATATATATATATATATATATATATATATATATATATATATATATATATATATATATATGGTTGGCGGCATCCGGTTTCGGATTTGCCTGTCACTGTGGCAAGCCACAGGACGCCTGCGCCTACAGAGGGACCATGGATGGCTTGCGCTGCACCACCCACAGCTCCAACCACATACCCCATATCCAGTGTAAACCCGAAGGAATAAGACCGGGAGGCATGCGGATGGGAACCAGGTTTCATCAACGGAGCCGGCCCACACTCCTTCACAGGCAAACACAAGCACGCTGTATTTGGGGAATCAAGCGCGCACACAAGGCGGTGGCTGGACCGTAGTCCGCTCCACACTGAGTGCATGGAACCGCTCTTTGAGCCTAGCACGGCCACAAGAACCGTGCACCCCGTCCCCTCCAGCAACGACCAACTGTCTCCTGGAGCCAGTATGAACGATGTAGTGGGTAATAGACAGGTAGGCACCTTGTCAACATACACATCAAGCGCAACCATACCAGGGATATCAAACAACAGCCATTCACTTTAAACGACAAGTTGAAATAAAATAAATCCAACAATGCATACAGATACGGTGGCATAACTCTTCGCTAATTTACCATATGAAGTAAGTGCGCTAACAACAAATCCGTGATAAGTAAGAAATGTCCACAAGTTACTTAAAAATGCTACAAAACGCAACAAAATTACCGAAGATAAGCGCAATTAGTGTAAGCAACGTGGCCACTTAATAGAACATTATTCAGGGAGGCAGAACAAACCAAATAAAGCGGAATGAAATTTATCCAGCTTAAAAAGACCTATATATATATGTATACATAGATATATATATATATATATATATATATATATATATATATATATATATATATACATATAACTCGAAATCGTCACGAATGCGCCACAGATTCTAGTGCTACACTTTTCCTCCAATGACCGATTGTTAGAGAGGAACAATGCCCTTCGCCCAATTCAGAGGCAAGACAACTCTGCGGGTTGAATAGTTCACGACATAATTCACGCCAAAGTCAGCTGAGGATAAATGTTGCTCTCCGCTTCAGGCATGCACACCCTGAGACAGTTGTGAGTAATGGAATGACATATTGGCATGGTGCATACATGGGGGATTGCCCAAGTTACTACATCCTAGAGGGTGGATGAACAAAAACATGCTAATATTGACGTTTCTCTGCTTTGTTTCTTCTGATCTGAAGTAAGCTTGACTGACAGGACAACAGTAGCAAAGGCAACAACAAAAGGAAATCACATACCAATCCAACTGGTGAGAGACAGTCACGCATTTCGTCGATAGACAAGATGCCGGCAACTACGAGATCGGCCTTGGAATGCACGAATGAGGGCATCACCAATCCAGGACAATCGCACAACATCAAGTCGGGGCGGACGCACAGTGTCTGTCGAAAAGGAAAGAGAAGGAGACGATCGTTGGTTTGTTGGTTGGTGGGTTATCGGATCACGGCAATGGCTCGACTGCCAACCTGAATAACGGCGTGGACGGTAATTGCAACGAGTGCGTCTCTCTCATCAATTCGGATTCCGTGATGAGAAGAACTTATGAAAAATAAAGACCTCACTCGATAAGCGGATCAAAATTACAAAAGCTGTGAGAACGTGCTCAAACATTTTGGGCATCTTAGCGTTTACTACTATCAGACGTTGCCAGAGAAGTGGAAAGCACTGCGGAAAGCATGGCTCATTCGGGTGTTATCGGTGGACACACACCAAAGAGCAAAAAATTAGTCGAACTGTAAGCAATTGGCCCGTGAAATGATAGAGACGGACAGAGAAAGTCGTTAGTGCAAGTGAGAAGTCAGCCCCGGTCAGCCTCAAGTCTACTACACGACGGGGAGGAAAGAAGAAATTGGCCTAGAAAACGGTACACTCGCGATTTGTATGAACCGAACACCGATATCCTGAAGGCGCTATGGGGATCCAATATGATGTAATATGGTCCACTGATGTAAAAAGTTAGATTGGGTACGACAACACAATTGCTACATGATGCTCACTCGTCAGACCAACGTAAGCTCCAGTGCAAACAATGGCCAAATACGTTGAATTAAGAGTTGAGTTCTATTTTGTGCGTGAGACAGACCCGGTATCCATGCTTCCTTACATCAGTTGGTGGCTGCTGCGGTCACGTGTTTGTTGATTGGACCCAACAACCTCACAACGCTATCTGCACTCCTAGCCAATGTGGGTCAGCTCCATCATGAGGACGCTTAACTAGTAAGATGAAGGCCAATCACTAGAGTACACTGAATTTCATCTATCGACCAGAGAGAGCCAGTAGTTCAGAAGTCAGGGTGTAGCGGCATTAGCCACCAACAGTTACGTCTACAAGAAAGTGAATGATAAGAATTAAAAAGGAGAAAAGGCAAGTATAGAAAAGAGGCGGAAAAGAAAAACGCCAGTTACCGAAAAGAGGAACTGTTAATTCGAATTAATGACATAAATGCAAAAGGATAGCTAAATTCAGATTGCACCGTTGCGTAGACCTTCCGGTGACCGATGTGTCCATACTGGGAACCACGTCGAAGCAGTTCCCTGAAGTGATGCCCCGTCAAGTGCTCGGCCAAGCAGAACTTGACCATCACTGGAGTTCACACAACTGGTGGCAGTATAAGCAATCAACAAGTGCTGAGATCGGTAATCATCCGAAAAACGTGGTCTAAACAGCGTGGGCAATGCAAAAGCAACCGAAGAAACAATGATTATTAAATAGTTTGTGTCCGAAGGTAACCGGCGAAATCTAGCACTATTTGCTCGCTGGTCCAGCAAAATACTGACGGCACTTGGCCGACAGGCTTGCCAAAGACAGCAAGTTATTTAACCTCCTTTGTGACCAATGGAAATGCTCGATAGACCCCTTCCCTTGTATCAAACCACCTCAAACCTGCGGGATCCGAATGGAGTTTCCCATGCAGAAGCAATGATGAACAAGTGGTAAAACATGTCATTCGCTGAATTTTAGCCGGATTCCGAAAGTGATCAAACATGGGGCGACATTCAATCGGCAGCAGGGAGCGAAGCGGCGGTCGTTCAAGCCCCGGAGTTAGTATTCGCAATTGAGTACCGGAAAGGGCACACAGGTAAGATAAAATGCACTTGGGGATGTCGTCCAAGATGTGCTCATTGGATCGCACACCTGGGTACCACATGCAAATCAGCGGCGCCTTCCAGAAACGAGGAATCCAGCTGAACTGCCTTTTGACCTTCTTGTGGATCACTTCAACCTATAGAACGCCCAGATGGAGCATCGTAATCAGTCGAACTGTTCGGCAATAGAGTTGGGATGCATTTTCAAAAATGGCCTGAACATTATAAGTGAGAAAACAGCTTGTATCCGTTAAACCACTGACAAGAAGGCAGATTCCAAGGGATGTGAATCTGCAAACTACATCCTTCGAGTAGTCCGAAACAGTGAGAGCAGGAGCAGCCCTTGGTCAAGACTACAAAAACATTACGCTTCTAAGAGGCGAACTGAATTCCGAACCCCTTAAAATTAGTACAATGCGCACTTAGGATGCAACAGGAAGAAAGCTAGATGTTTCAAAGTTGGTAAAGAGTACGGCTAGTTAACAAAATAGCTTGAGTCTCTAAGCCGGAAGATGTGAATCCGAAGGATGTGGCGCCTTGCATGTTACTCAAGTCAGAAGATAAAATCTTCTGCCACATTAAAGAGAATAAAAAAGTAGACGTGATATTGTGCTTAAAACGATCATACAAAGACATTGCGGTAGCAGGACAATAACTTATATTTAGTAAGGCAATGCTGTTTTAAAGACAAACCGTTTGCACCAATCGATTACCTGAAAATGTTTCGTGCGACCTGGAGTAGCCGAGACAGCGGTCTTCTTTCGCCCAATTAGAGCGTTCAGCGTGCTGGATTTGCCAACGTTTGGGTAACCGACAAAACCCACTGTGAGCTGGGAGCCTCGAATTGGTCGGTTTGATGGATACAACTGCTTGGAGAACAAGTCTAGAAGTTCAGTGGAGTTCAGTAGGCGACCATCCGGCTGAAATCCAGGTGCACTAAGAGAAAAGATATCCAATAACCATGGAACAGGAAGTTCGACGATGAAGGTGTATTTCAGATTATCGAATATAGCAGTATTCCAGAAACCAGATATTTCGTGGGCACAGGGTGGCTCGCCAAGTAGCGCCGCCTGAAAGTTGGCATGGATTGCTTACAGACTTATGCAGGAAAGACTCCTGTGGACTGTGTCTCCTTAAGGGCAAAAGACAAATTAGTCGGTCGAGGTCAGATTAGTACATGGTTATCCAGGTCACGAAGAGACATCACGTAATAAGTTATCGTAATGCCAGATTCAAGAACCAGAGTCCTTCAAATAGACGCTCAAGAGATTTGCGGTTTCAAGTTAAGACACCCCTAAAGTAAGCCGCAATATAAGGTCTCATATGTACGAAGGCATTCACAGGGCCGTGGAACCATTCTGTGATCGACAAAAAAGGGTAGCGCTGGGTAGTACCGAAGCAGCAGGCCGCCATACAAAGTCACAAATCGTTAAACACCCAGTGTAGTGTTCACAACCCAAGTATCTAAATTGCCAACGAATTCACGCGAGCCAGCAAAATAACTACACAAAGAAGTGAGATCGAGCATAGAAGAGACTAGGTTGGGTTGACATACGATGTTTCTGCCGCTGCAGCTGTTGCATCAGGAGCTGAGTGGTTAACGGTCGAAGAAAAAGTGGGGCGAACCGGGTCTTCTTCAGAGTCACTGCTAGCTTTGGGGGTGGAGCAGCTACCGTCACTGTTGAACGAAGCATTGTCTGTTTCGTAATCCGATTCCGTTGGCTGGCTCCCACTGACGGAATCTAGATTGTTGAGACTGTACGTTTCTCGAGACGAAACAGCTGCGGTTGCGGACCAAAATATAGCACAAATCTCCCGTTCGCGGAAGTACACACTCCACAATTCGCTGTGAGAAGCAAAAAGGAAAATGACGCAGCTAAACAAACAGGAGGGTTAAAAAGCATTCACATCGTTCCATAGAACTACAACCAGTATAAGAGTAAACCTGCAAAGGCTCATCGAAACGTGTTGGGTCGCAGTGTTAAACTAGGACAGTCGAAATACCAGAGCTGCAACTTGATGTAGAAATAAATGAATAAGAGTGAACTTCATGTGCAGGACAGCATTATGCCACACAGGTAAATAATGGCGCGTGAGTGAGTAGTGATCAAGTAGATGTAAAAAAGCGAGACGAAAGAGCACGTGTTACAAGGCTGATGGTGGTAACTAAAAGTGATTAGGCAGTCAGGTAAAGGTAAAATGGTATCCGCAGTACGCCGATACGCAATAATGACGCATCGCTGTCGCGCAACCACCATAACTCGGACGCGGACTAAGGATAATGAGAGGGTCGCCCGGTCCCTAAGCAGGCTTGAACCCGCGACCTCGCATTACAAGGCAGGTTTGTGAGCCTTAGGGCTACGAGTCGGGTGATTAAGAAGTCAGGTCGAAAATGAAGTATCCCTAAGCTGGATGAATATATTTTTTGAAAGACGAGGCAGTGTAATGTGAAACGCTATTTAAATCAGTTGTTGAGACCATAAAGAGCTGTGGAGAGCGTAAACCTAGGGACAAAATGCACTCAGCAAAGAAGGCACGACAGAATGAGACGAAGCGGTGGATCCACGTCTCGAATTCCGAAAGCCAAGAGGAAGAAATTCGAAGCACGGTTAGATAGGATAAAAGACCGACAATAAAAGAAATAACAAGAGAAAAAACGCGACGATCGGTGACATTCGTGTCATATTTACCGCTGTTCCGGAGTGAGGAAATCGGCCTTGTTCACAAGGACAATACACACTTTATTCGGATCGACCTCGTGAGCGTACACTTCCAGATCAGAGCAGTAGTACAACAGAGGCTGACGGGCATCAACGAGTTGCACCAGGATATCACTGCGCTCCACAACACGCCATAACTGGCGCCAAAATTCAATGTTCTTCTCAAACGGAGTCAGTACTACGCCCTTTGTTTGTTCCAAACTGAAGAGCAGAAAAGGAGTGATAGTCCCATGAGAAAAAAACACATAGTCAATGATGTTAAGTAAAAGGAAATACAGAATACCCACAAATGAGCAAAGCTAGCGACGCAATCGGTGTTCACGACTTTAGTGCAAAAATGAAAACAAGAAATGCTATGCGGAAGTGAATTCTCACTGAAAAAGCAACATACAGAGACCAAATGAGTAGACGCATCGAGCACAGTGTAAAGCCGAAAACAGACGTACACATGGGATGGGCTGTTGGCCTTGGCGCTATACAGTACCCCTGACAAAATAACACTGATCCACACCATTTGAGCACAGAAGGACATCACGTTAGTTAAACAACAACAAGAATATCAATGAGCACAATCATGAAAGACGTAGAGAAGTTGCACTCTTTTAACATGTTGAGAATGTGAAAGTAGAAGGTCAAAGTGCGAACTGACTTAGCCAAGGAACGTCTCCAAGTTAGCATCTCTTCCTTCTCCAACTGGTTCAGTTGTTCTGGTGTCATTTCTTGAGTCCATCTTGGCCTGATGATGAGAGGGTAATGGAGGAGAAAATAGGCTCTGTGACCCTATGTAAGTGACGGGTTTAGGCGACGAATACTCTCGTCACGTTTATTGAGTAGTTCTGTCCCAGCAGGGTGATAAAGAAGAAATGAGGCTGATGACGCATAGTGTACGGCTCAATTTAGTAATTGTGATCTAAGCATATGTCTTGTTATCGGTAAGTGCCAATAAGATCAATAAACAGAAATACTTTAATTCATAAATTATGCCCATTCTGCTGTCAAAAGGAAATTGCGAAGAAATTTCGTTTCGATAAATCTCTTCAAGCAATTACAATTACGCGCTTCGTAATCATTTGCGCAGTGGCTATTGCTAGTGGTGCGACACAAATTCGTGAATGCTACGATCAGATGAACGGTGACAATCCATGTCTATTTGAAACCACTACCATTGACCACTAGGCTAGAAATCAGGTGACCAGGCTAGGGCCACAGTAGGGTTAAAGTCTGCGTAAGTGCACGCCGGTTGCACAGTTCCGGCTTCAGTTGTCTGATCGCAATGGCTTCCGCTGTGGCCAGTAGGCGCTTCCCGAGTCCCTTAGTGCAGCGTTTTACTGCTACATACATTATTTTGAAGCCCTCTTTCGTTTGTATATTATTCCCACTATCTGCTAGGTGTTCTAGGATGGAGCTGTGGACATTTCTGGTGGTACCACGCTGCAATGAGGCACGGTAGTGTTCCGCTATCCGTTTTGACAGACCTCGGGTAGTGTGTCCGAGGTATCTCGCACCACAGGTGCAAGTGCATTGATATAGGACATCGAATTCGGACTGGCCCGGAATTCTGTCTTTTACGTTGGAGGCAGAAAATCACGTTGAAGAAACAGCGATTACAAGCAACCACGAACTGCCAGGATGCTGCAAGACAAAACATAAGAAGCCAAAATGATCACGTGATTTCAAAGTAGAGCAGAAGTATAGACCGGTCAGACAAGTCATCTAGTTAGTTTTAGTACATTTTTCGATACATCGTAGATCGAACGCTCAAGATATAGGCGCATGTTACGTTGCTAATAAGAATTACGGATCAGAGGAGTGGCATTTGTTGTGTTTCCGCTGATAGCACGGATAAGTGATGTAGCCACTCTGGTCACGATACAGCCACCTTCCAAATCAGAAGACAAAGGCCCCTGGCGGAACTTGTATAGAGCACTCAGAAGACAGAATGTACAGCCGAAGTATTCGGTGGAAATAAATAGTTCATGAGAGAAAAGAGCTAGTTGAAGGTTACTGATTATAGCAACCAGTAAATGTGCAAATACTCGTTTGTTGGCTGAGCAAGTAGTGTGCTCACTGAAGGGCTTCAAGGCAGGTCATTCTGACTGGTCCACCTCAAGGTAAAACGATACCATTGGCTTACTCTCATTAGCTAGTCAATCGGCTACAGGCAACATACCACCAATCTTCTCCGGGCTGCTCTAAACAGACAGAGAGAATTAGTTTCGATGGCTGCTATGGACGGGCCCCGGTAGCATTGAAACTGAAAAGGAATCCGGATGGTACACTCACTCGACCGGTGTACCGTGAGCCTAGTTGGACGAAGAAGTATCTCTGAGCGACCAGACGTCGTAGGACTGGCGGAGACATGGCTAACTTCTGAAGTAATGGCAGAGGAAGTCGATCTCAGTGGCTACTCATGCTTTCGCTGCGATAGAATATCAAATCCTCGTGGTGGTGTCTTACTTTATATACGGTCTTCCCTGCGTGGGAGGCTTGTAAGCGTGTACCGAAGTGGAGATGGACTGTGTGAACAGGTATGGTGCTCGATCAACCTCAGGCGCGGCAAGCTGACAGTAGGTGCATTCTACCGTAGCCCACTGAACCGCTCTTTAGATTGGCTACCGCATCTTAGGAACAACATGAGTCGTCCATGTTTTTTACTCATGGGTGACTTCAATTGTCCCCACATTCAATGGCCTGAAATCCAACTCATGCCCGGGTATTCTGAAGTCGAATCAAAGTTTGTTGATTTGTTGCTTGAAACTGGGGCATCGCAACACATATACCAACCTACGCGCATGACGGCGCGTTCGAACCCATCGTGCCTTGATTTGATGGTGACGAATTGCGAACAGCGGTTGCATGACATACGAATCCAGGAGCCCCTAGCTAAAAGCGACCATTCCGTGCTGATAGCCACTATGGAACTGAACTTGCCGAGTGTATCTCCGGTGGAACCAGCTTACAACTACTGGAAAACTGATTTCGATGGATTAAATCGAGCAGCGAGCCAAATGGATTGGTCTCTACCGCATGTTACATCTGTGGAGGACGGTTGGACAGTAATAAAGGAAGGATTGGCTTCGCTTTGTTCTCAGTTTGTGCCGTTGAAATTTCAGAAAGTCGGACCAATCAAACCACACTGGTTCGATAAGGAATATGGTAGGCTGGCTCGGTTACGGCGAAGAATGTGGGACGCATTTAGCCTCTCTTGCTCCGCCACTGATTACGAAGCATATAAAAGACAGCAAAATATTTGCAACAAAGTGAAATTGATAAAGCGCCGGAAGTTCGAAGAAAAGCTTGCAACTGACGCGAGGATGGCCCCAAAGAAGATCTTTGCTTACGTGAAACGCCGTTTGAAGCCAAAAGGTGACGTGTCATGTCTGGAAGACGCGGACGGACACCTGCTAACTTCCAGTTCTGATCGCGCGTCCGCACTGGCCGCTCACTTCGCTTCCGTGTTTGCAAACGACGCGGCGTCCATACCCATCTCAGCGAGTAACATTCCTGTAGAACTCAACAGTTTGGTTTGTGATGTCGACGAGGTGCGCCTGCTACTTGCGAACCTTGACGGTACCAAGCCTGCAGGGCCTGACGGGCTTCATCCGCTAATTATCAAACCACTAGCTGCCATTATCTCGCCTGCTGTTACGGATCTATTCAACAAATCATTGTCTGAGGGCTCATTGCCAAACGACTGGAAGCGCTCGTTGATGAGGCCGATCCCGAAAGGTGGCGACCCCAGTAAGGTGGATAACTACAGGCCACTTTGTCTTACACCCGTTTTGGCCAAAGTGATCGAGAAGATAGTAAAAAAGCGTCTAATACATTTGTTGCAATCGAAAGAACTTCTGACATCGGCACAACACGGATTCAGGATGGGATATTCTTGTGTTACCAACTTACTTGTGACGAGACAGGAATGGTTGCAAGCACTGAACCGGGGAAAGTCCGTCGACGTAATCTACATCGACTTCAGCAAAGCATTCGACAAAGTTAATCATGAATTGCTTCTAGACATATTAAGATCGTATGGTGTCGGAGGATCGTTACATCGATGGATCCATGAATTTCTCGTTGGAAGAAAGTGGAGGGTACAGGTGGATGGCCATCTAACCGATTGGTATCCCCCGACCAGTGGTGTACCTCAAGGTACGGTACTGGGACCCACTCTGTTTCTAATCCATATCAACGAGCTGCCCCAGCTTCTACGGTCGCCGTGTGCACTGTTTGCGGATGACCTCAAAAGTTGGCGAGAAATTAATACTCTCGATGACTGTGACATTCTCCAACAAGACTTCGACCGCCTCGCAGTATGGTCTGCTGAAGTCCACCTACCGGTCAACCCGGCAAAGTCCCTATTCATGAATCTCGGGAAGGCTGTTCACGAACGAACGTACACCCTAGACGGCCAACCACTGCATCCCACACCTTCCGTGAAAGACCTAGGTGTACTCTCACGCTGCGACTTGAAGTCCGTCGACAACACCAACAAACTGTATCGAAACGGACTGCGCATGGTCTGGGCGCTGCAACGCAGCTTCTGCACTTGGTCTGAGGACGTCGCCACTCGCCTCTTCTCTTCCATCGTCAGACCAATGGTAGAGTACGGCTCGCCTGCATACTGTCCGATCACTCGCGGCGAAGCGCAAAAGATCGAACGAGTACAACACGTCGCCACCAAGTTGATCCCCAGCTTGAGAGGCTTATCGTATGAAAACCGGTGCAAGAAATTTGGGCTCTACACCTTGTCATATCGCCGTGTTCGAGTGGATCTTATCATGACCTACCGTATTTTACATCTCGGTCATTTCCCTATGCTGAGGTCGTTACTCCACTTGCGAGTACCATGCACCACACGTGGGCACAGGTACAAATTCGTAGTACCTGATCTGAAGAAAATCCCACACCCCCTGTGTTTCGAGCGGAGGGTTGTGCACGCCTGGAACAGTCTGCCAGAACACGTCGTCGAGGCCGAATCTGTGCAGAAATTCAAATCTTTGTTGGATATACACTTCGCTAACAAACGTTTCAGAGAACGGTTGCCACTTGACAACGATATCACCCACTTGTGATTCACTGTGTGAACAAGCATTTTGTGTGCTACAGGAGTTGCTGAACCATCTCAGGATAACCACCGGACGTGCTTATTTTTTTAATGTTTTTTGATTATCACCCGATGGAGTTGTACAGAATTATTTTCTACTTGCTCCAAAATACAGTATTCAGTATTCTCGGCTTTAACAGTTCCTGCCCCATCAACTACAAACGAGCTCTCGTACGCATTATTTTCGCAAGAGATCGTATGATATGCTCCGAAGGAACAATTGACAAGGAGGTGCAACATGTATCAGCCACACTACGAGAGAACGGGTATCCCGAGAAGTTCATCAAGCGCCACTCAAACGAAAAAACAATCGAAAAAAGTAAGGCTGACGTCCCTAAGAAGATATTCATTACGCTGCCATTCAAAGGGGGGCCAAAATGACAGGCGATTTCAAGATCGTCTTCACCAGTCTATTAAGAAATGCTATTGTGCGGCCGACCTGGGCTAACTCCACCAAGTTAAAAGGTTGTTCTGCAAATCCGATCTGAACGGGCTAAACTCTACAGTTATCGCCTCCTGTATCTGCCTCTTTCATTGTACTTGCGGTAGCAAGTACTTGGGCCGAACTGAGAGGAGGCTATCCAGGAGTTCAGAAGATGTCCCACGTAACCTGGTGGCAAATGACCCTAAGTTGCCCGCAAGCCCCATCGCCCAGCATATCCTCGACTGCCCCAAATGTCAACACCCGCGAGAATGATTCAGTATCCTTAATCGACAGAACAACGCTCGTCTGCTCCAATTTGCAAAGGCTTCCGCGATTCGTTGACTGATACCTAAGTTATGTAAGCAGACGGAGTTTATGACTACCCCCGCCTTGTCCTGGTGAGGTTATCGATTCCGTTTTATTTAAACGGAACGATTTCACACATTGTCTTACTGTTGTGTGTGCGCCATACTGATTTCGTAAACTGTCTATACACAGCTGATTAGAAGACGAGAAATATCGGAATTCAGATTATTCTGTTGTTTCCTCTTGTTATTTTGAAGTTAGTGAAGAAGAAATCCTGTATCAAAGTGGACCTGAGAAAACTGTGCCAGTGCAAAACTCCTCAGAGCTTTTGTTAACACGTTTCAAGCATTCCCCACATGTTTGTGGTGGTAGAGTCTAAGATGAACCAGCATATAGCAAGAAAACGTTTTGCTATCCTTAAGCCTTTAAACTACAACTGCTCAAATCGGATGTTAGTATTGCCCTATTTCTCCACTTCTCTTCAACTGGCTGATCAAAGTGATTACGGTCGGTTTTCTTACGCCCGTTTCGCGTTCTCTTATGGTAGAGCTTCTATCTGCTGACCGACTGCAAAAAGTATAAAACGTGGCCGATACAGGTTTTATTGGCACGGACTCCACCGCCAGAATACAAACGCCACAGAATCAATACAAGCGTAGCGCTGCGCGCTTTTGCAGGTGCATCTAACCATTGAAGTGCAAAATACTGCTATAGGAATGGGCCGATATGCTACTAGTACTAAGTATCGCCAAACAGCCAATGGAAGTGGTCGCTTACTTCAGTTGCTTTGGTGGTTACAACATGTCTGATGGTCGCATCATTAAAGAGGATACTTCACTTGTCAGCAAAACTAGTTTAACCTTTCAACATCGCCGCTACTAAGTAGGTGGTACTGCAGGGAGGCAGAGATACGGCAAATTCGCACCGATGAGAGGTAAGAGGTCGTTCATCTTTGATCATCAATGCCGGTGCAGTAACGCTAGCATCTAGTGGGAGCTATCGGTACAAAATAGGGAAATCCACCAGTTGGTATCTAGCAAGAAACCTACTAGTATCTGAATGAAGTGTTAATCCTGTCCTATGTGTGTATGCCCGTCGGTCGTCTACCTGAGAGTGCATTATATGCAACCGTTGCCATTTCGGAGTCAGTGGCCATTTTGTGCTGTTTCCTGCACTCAACTAGGATTCCACCCTCAATTAGTTTTACTCGCTGTTTAGTAACCTCCATAGTTTCGAATTATACATGCGTCATCAGCATTATACAGGTTAGTTAAAGGTGTAAAACACTTCAGCTACTGTGCCGCAATACATAAGGGGAAAAAATAAAATAAATGCAACTGTTGTATGCCAGCATGCCAGCAACGGATGGGCATCATTCCGGAAAGCTACCAGTCGATTACTAAGCAACAAAAAATTATGTAAAATTATATTACGCTACGAAGGATGGTGGTTGGAGGGAGAGGGATAAAGAAACCCAGCAGGAACGGCACCGAGGCCGGCTCCTAGCATGTCAGCGAGTGTATCTAGCCAAACGTGTTCATCGTCTTTCGGACCCCAACTAGGAAATCATGACGCTTCAACCGAGGCCAGCTGCGAAGTGAGGGCCTTCATTCCTCGCGACCAAGTCATCGCTTGGCCACCCCTCCTCTTCTTTCATCCACACCCCCAGCGAGAAAAGAACGTACGGCGCAGGAGCCGGTGGGCTGGCATGCGTAACACGTGACCGAGCCATCGGAGCCTGGTGCGTGAAATGACGGTGATGAGCCGGTCAGTTTCTTTTCCTGTGCTGTAACAAGGCGTCGAAGAGGCTCATTGCTCACGCGGTGTTCGCACCAGATGTGAGCCAAAATGCGAAGGCAACGGTGGTCGAACGTAACTAATTATACATGTGTTTTATCTCATCTTTCATGTTATTGTTATACTATTAACAAGCGTTGGGGCAGCCGAATTCACCAACGTTCGGTGCCTTGATTATAGTTGAATTAGTGAACTGAAGTGCATCTTTTATGCGATCACATAGCTGGTTGCCTGGTAGAACGTCAACACTATGAAACAAAAAGAACAATCATTCACGATCAGTAAGACAAAAGATGTGAAAACTACTGGTGAGATAAGACGGCCCTAACTAACTGCGCTTGAAGTGAAACCTTCAGGGAACGACTTCCTGTGGATCCGCAAAAAGGTCTAGCGTTCTCAGTATGTGGACAGAAAGATGAGGCATTTTCAAAGCACGTCTTTAAAATGTAACCGTCATCAAAAGCAAGAGTAAGCTGGTGAGGCGAATGGGGTCTCTACCTTATAAGGACAATCACAATAAACCTGCTGTGTGTGTGTTATGATGTCCAAGCACTTGATAAAGATTTTCAGGAAGCAGTCGACAAACAACCAAAGTTACAGGTTAAGGCCCTATCTCTGTGACAAAGTAATTTGTCTGGGGAGAATCAAACGAGGCGACAGTCGCTGGAGTGCAAATACATACCTTCTAGGAATTTTCAAAAGATTCTGGTAAACCTTATGCAACTCATCAGACTGTTGTCGCAATGTTGAAGAGGGTAGACCGAGGGTTTCGCCTTTCGTGACAAATCTGAAGGATTTTTTCTCTTTACTCATTATTTCAAAAACAGTCCTTACGTGCAGTAAAGTCGGAATTCGCAAGCTCAGCGATGCTGAAGAATTCGGTGAGGGTATTTTCTTCAGTTACAGAGCGAACTGGTAATCTCGAGAAATCCTCATTTGTTGAAGATGAATGTCGATTCTAAAAAAGGATTTGCGATGAACTGTAACATGTACTGAATGAGGACCATTCGTTTTCCCATCCCGCTTCAATAAACATCTTCCAAGTGTAGGCCTTTTCACCATCGTGCCGAACAACTTGCAAGAATAAAATCAATTTAAAAAAGTGAATTGCTGAAATGGATAAAAGGTAAGTGAATCCGATCGGAAAACAGTAAGTCAAATTAGGACGAATGTAATACCCAGCACCCAGCTTTCGCGATCATCCATGAGCTGGACCTGCCTACTCGTCGAATAGTGTGCAAAAGCGCGAATCTCTGGAACCAAATTACTGCAAGCATTATTGGGGGCAAGCCATCGTCAGGACCAACAACAAGACCATATTAGTAGATTACTTTGTTTCACCGCTATACGAGCATCGTAGCTTCACTAATATGAGAGGTGAATAGAGACCAAAATACATAAACGCCCTAAACAAGCAACCAAAATGACTAAATCTCGAAAAAAGCGGACCGTTATAGAGAGTACATCAACAAAAGCAGTACATCAGCCATCTGAACTGAGACTTCGCTGCAGTACAACTACAACGAAATTCGGAACGAAGAAAAAGAAGAGGGAGAGGAGACCTAGCGTAAAAACGTGATGGCTTAAACAAACAATGTCAAGGTGCCAACAAATTGTCAACAATGCACCATCACAAACAGCTGGCTATTGTGCAAAGATAAGGCGGCATCGGCGAGACAGCTTCCTTGCGGATTTCACTGCCCCGCGTCATAATCAGCCATTACCCCGCAGATAACTCAGCACCAAGTGCACTTTAAAGATGCAGTCCGACTAGAAGACGGCTGCAGACGCGCCACTGGTGTTGACTGTTAGCTGTCCTGTAAAGTCTCGAGCCAAGCGTACAACGCGGGTCATGTGGACCGCAGCATGGAAGGCGAAACCAAGCAGTGGCAACTTGTTTGGTCGTCAAGGATTTCGTTTCCCACTGCCAAGTCAACTTTTGCCCACCACGGGCCTTGCGCCACTTTACATATTGCAAACGAAACGACCTCGGTAAACATTAACCAGGCATATGTAGTACGTACCTAAGCCAAGGTAACTTATTCAGTACTACCTGTTCTAAGGGACTAGCTTGGTTATCATTGTCTAGTACTCGCCTAAGCACATCGCTACGGACACGACGGCACCCCCGAGATACCAGCAATGTTTCGTAAACAGCGATGGTTAGAGACTTGAAGGCGCCTCAGATCCTCAGACAGAAGGGGCCAAGATTCACTACCATAGATTAGCACGGCTCTCACTGCGGCCTTGTGAACACGACCTAGAAGACTGAGGGAACGTACTTTTTGTCGCCAAAGATGACGCAGACTTAACAAGACAGTTTTGGCTTTTGCAATGTGTGAACTGACTCCAACGGTCATGCGCCCATCGTTGCTGATGCGGTCACCGAGGGAAAGGAATTGGTTAACTACTTCGAGTTATTCGCTATCAAGGGTCAAGGGGTCAATGAGTAGATGGTAGTCCTGAAACAACACTGCATTTTGAAGGTACGAAACGCATCCCAAATGATGGGACCGAGAGATTAATCAGGGTTGATTGGGCCGAACCCAAATAGCCACGACTCGCTTGCATATAGCAACACCGCCCGAACGGTGGCTCTTTAATAAGAGGAAGACATCCCCACGATACCACAAATGCTTCAGGTTCAAGCGCAAGTGGGACTGGAACCGTAAAATAAATTCCCGTGGGTGTTGCTTCCGTGACGCGTCATTAATCCGGGTATTATTCGCCGAGGATAACTGGAATCTAGAAGAGTCAGATCAGTTCGCGCGAATCATACCACGGTCAAGCAATTAATACCCAGGCGACCTGCATTGGCAGTCCCCGTCGCATCGGTTAGGTGAAATAAGAAACAGAAGTAAGAAAGTAAGAAAAGCGTTACGAATCAAAAGTAATAGATTTGATATTGCAGTAAGGGGAATAAGCTAAGATGTGAAGAGGAAAGTTAAGAACTGAAGGCCAAGGGCGTCAAGTCGGTATGCGAACTCTTTTCCCGTTGGTGACAACACCACGTTCTGGGGCCGTGTATTCCAAGAACCCACCATTCAGCGGGATAAACGAAAGTCTGCTTGGACTCCGTCTGATCGAGGTTTGTGTAGCTTCATCGAGTGACCTCGGAGAGATGGAAGTCCAGCTAGTTGGAAAAGTCCAGATAAATCGGGTCCGAATCACCGGTAAGTATGCGACAGGTCAAGATCAGGTCGTCTCAATAACGACGATAAGGCATTGAGAATATTCCCAGCTCAAGTAGTCTTTCTGGGTAAGAAAAGTTCTGTAGTCCATGAACCATTTTGGTTCCAACTCTCAATACTCCAATGACAGTCTGTCCCTGACCAAGTTGGGTGGATAAGCCTGGATGCAGTATTCCAAGTGTGGCCTAGCAAAGGCTGAGAATAACCTAACAAACATATCGCACGTGATGATCCCGAATGCCCTACGGATCACCCACAACATGCTAAAACCTTTGAACGTAGCTTTTCTCCAGTTCTCACTAGATTTAAGTTTTGAAGAAATCGTGTCTATTAGATCTACCAGATGGGAAACATGTAGTTCATTCCCACCAAAGAGGTAACGCGTTTGGGTGCCATTTGGGCCTAATGGTAAAACGGAACACTGCATAATTTGTGAGCATGTGCCACAAAACAGCAGAGTCTGGGGTCCATCGAGGTCGGACACTGTGTGTGCCAAAACTTTAGGTCATGTCCAAACATGAGAGGTGGTACCCCCAGTAGTTCGGGAATCCCACTGACATACAGAAAAAATAACAATGGATCAAGCACCGAACGCTGCGGGACCCCACTAAGGACTGACTGATGGAAAGATAGACTAGACTCCAAACGAACGCACATCTCTCTCCGTTCCAGAAATGTAGAGATCCATTTTAGAACACACCCTGATAGGCCATATGACCGAAGCTCCAAGGAGATGCAAGAATATGGTACAGTGCCGAACACTTTGGAGAAGTCAAGAAACAGTACATCTACTGCATGACCTCGATCCAAAGCATCCGTCCAACATTCGCGTGCAACTAGCAAATTAGTTGTGCAGAAGTGACCCTTACGAGAACCGTGTTGAAGTGAGCTGTGCAGACCAAACTCCCGCAGATGGTTTTCAGTTACATCCCTAACTTCTCCAACAACTTGACCAGTACGCTAGTCAAACTTACCGGTCTATAACTGGCAGGGAGATGTTTGTCGCCCAATGGAAAAGTCGGGCAGACGACAACATTCTTCCAGAACTCAGACAAGGAGCAACTGTAAAGCGATAACAAATAAACATGTCGCTGAGCCACATAGCCCGTTTGTGATTTCGTACGAAAGCTTTGGGTGAATATTGTCCACCCCCAGTGGATTTAGCGCCTGAAGAAGATGGAGAACATATGCCTCCGAAATTAAGAAGTCCTGTTGGACTCTCAACTCCCAGCCAACATGCAGCGACTGCTCTTCCCGTGCAAAGTCTCGGCATATTGCGCACTGAGTAGACAGGCTTTTTCGTGATCAGTGTTGGCAGTGGCGCCGTCGCTGCCAAATAAAAATAAATAAATAATAGACAAGCCAACGTCGCTACGCCATTTGACATAAACGAAAAATCGTTTGGGGTTTGCGGACTCAGAGTTAGCCAGCTTCATCTCATAGCAAAGTCTAGCAGCTCCTAAATGACTCATGCAAGCATTACGCGCTTCACGATAGCGCCTAAAAGTACATTCAGAGTGAGCTGTCCGGCAGATCTGCCAGCATCTCGCCCGTCTATTTAGAAGCCGGTGTGCAACTGAGTCCAGCCATGGTGACTGCTTTGGCAACCTTCACCGAAAATGAGATGTGGGGGAGGGAAATATTAGAAAGGAAGGACTTAAACGTATCCCAAGCAGTCTGCATAGCATCATCCAGCAAGATGATGCATGGAGAACTAACTGCCTTGGCTCCAACAGACTGAAAGTCAGTATGCCAAATGTTCGGATTTCGGATCCAGCGTGAGTCGTAGTCACTAATTGGAGCACAAGTGTATGACAAACACACATGGTCACTGGCTCCCAAATTGGGGACTATACTCAAGGTGGCTCACAAAGTCAACCGACTTTGCGAAAAGTAGGTCCAAGAGAGGAGCATGACACTCCATGTACCTGGTGGATCGATCGACAAACTGGTGTAAGAGTAATTCCAGTGTCAAGTCGACAAGCTCAGCAGCCAAACCTTTGACCGCTGCCTCATACGATAGGTCATGCCAATTTACTTCAGGAATGTTGAAGTCCCCAGTATCAAGTATCTGTTCGCAGAGTGAGTGCGGACGAAGTCAATGAAAGTCCTAAAAGCGCTATCAGAGCTGCTGTACAGCAACACAATTGTAAATTGCATTGACTCAGTACAGACTTCAACTGAAAGAGCTTCAGCAGTTCTAGCTGCTTGGCTCCAGACTTTACAGGACATGGCTCGCAGTAGACACCAGTGTCGGCCGGTGGCCGAGTGGTCTGCACGTTTGCTTTGCAACCACAAGGTCACCGGTTCGAATCCGCGTAGGGGTGGACGTCCTCGCGGTATATTCAGCCCGCGCGCGACTGGTGGTGGTCGCGCGGCAGCGAAGCGCCGTTACGGTGTACAGCTGACACATTATTTTCCGCGTAGGGGTGGGCGTCCTCGCGGTATACTCAGCCCGCGCGCGACTGGTGGTGGTCGCGCGGCAGCGAAGCGCCGTTACGGCATATAAGCTGACACATTTCCAGTGGCGCGTCCGCGGCCGTCTCCTAATTGGATTGCCTCTATAAAGTGTGTTTAGTGCTCAGTTATCTGAGGGGTAAGGGCTGATTATGACGCGTAGCAGTGAAAGCCGCAAGGAAGCTGTCTCGCCAATGCCGCCTTAGCTTTGCACGATAGCCAGCAGTTTGTGACGGTATGTTGTCTACACAAGGTGTAGGCGCCTTGACCCTGAATGTTTGCTTAGGACATTAAGGTTTTCAGGTAAGTTCCCCTTCTCCCCTCTTCTTATCCTTTATTTCATGGGTCCTCATGGTTGTATGACAGCGAAGCATCAGTTCAAATGGCTGATGTGCTGCTGTTGATGATGATGATGGTTGGGTTTTGCGTACCACCTGAAAATCCACAATATGTAGATCAGTTT